TAACCTTCTCGTATATGTTCCAAAAAAACCTCCCAATTTCTCAAAGGAGTCTTGATACTCATGTTAAACCAAGTCCTGTACATAAACTCATAGAGATAACTGTAAATCATTGCATTCCTTGATCCATTCACCGATCTGATCCGTTTTTTTAGGCGACTCCAAAATCTTTCGATGGAATTAGTGTTAGTTCCATCAAAACGATTGATAAAACCATTTGTATGGTTGACGACTTGATGAATATGGTCCAGATTTGATAACTGACTGTAACTACTCCATTTATCTGTATGAATAGTCTCTTCAGTCCTGGTACCATTGCACTGCAGATGCTTCCGAATTTTCTACTTCATAAGCTGTTACTGGTCTTTTCAGTATTCAGAAATGACACATCATTAAGATTTCGTTAGAGGTAATTTAGACTTTGCGGAAAAAGTACCTAAGGAATCTGTTAAAACTAAAAAAGAACGACATACCTTCTCGAACTGATTTTCCGCTTCGGCGCTCACTGCACCTGTAAACAAACCCATCAATGCAGCTAGTGTATCTTTGTATATGCATAACACCTCCACATTGACAATTTTTCGACCTTCCTATCAGTCCGTTCTCCAAACTGTAATCGAAAACAAGATCTGGAGCGAATTTCCAACGCAAAATACGTATGGATAAAACAGAGTCACATGACTGGCTGCTCAAGGTCATTTTTCCGTTCGCTAGGTAGTTTCGGTTTGAGCTTCTATAGTTTAGAGTTACCAATACTTTTTTCTTCATGCACAATTTACATGTAAAGTAATAATCTGAAGTATATTTTCACTGTGTTGAAGAATTGAACAGTGTTTATTTGGGAGCAAGTTAAATCAGCGCGCAAGTTCATGTATAGGTCATTTGATATAACTGGATGACTAAACCAATGATAAATCCAGATGAAATTAAGCATTTTGGTGGAAAGCAGTCCCCTGTAGCCCAGTGATTTAAGCAGACCGCCTTCTATTTTAAATAACAGGTAATATAAAGTCTCAATAATAAAGGAGACAATTAGTCTATTATATACGATGGCAAGTAAACTGTTTAGAATGTTACAGCAAAATTCCAACAGGTGCAAAAAATAATAATAACTTTGTAAGCATTCTTGTTTAAATCTAACACTGAATCCAAAAAGTTAGCGGTTATCATTTTCCTTTTGGTAGCAATCTTCAAATATTTTATGTCAGACAAAGTCTAACCTGTATATATGGAATTTCTTGTTAAAAGCTACTTTCTTAAGGAGGAAGATAAATAAACCTTTCCAGCAAACAAATGCCTATGTCATATGATCTTCATTATAATAAAGGTTTTCTTGTATTTCCCAATGAATGAAAAACAAAACGATATTGTTGTTTTTACTGATGTTTCGCTATTTAATGCTGCTGCTAATAGCATTATCAAACCAGAATTTACAAAATCTTAGCTTATATATAACAGCTTAATCATCGTTCATCAGCATGGGGTCATTTTTCCCTTGTCAAGTTGACCAATTGGTAAAGATAACTAAACCAGGTGTAGATTGTTGAATTTGATAAGTGTGTAAAATTATAAAAGTAGCGTGTGTTTACATGGTGAACTTGCTTATCACATTCGTGTTTTGTCATTTCAAGGGGGACTGGGTAAAATTCTGTTTTAGTCCATCATTCCTATTCAGGCAATTTGGATTCCATTTGATATGAAGTGCTTCTGGTGAAATTTTTCTGGATGATGATTTCAATAGTCAGAATAAATTTTGAGACCTGGTTCTATAGCGTGCAGACCCATGGCTGATAATTTTTCAAGCTTTTTTAGTTCAAATGGATTTCTCGGTGGTCGAACAGACGCCCTACGGTGTTCACTTCTTCTAATTTTCATTTCTCGCGAAGTTTGTCTGATGTATATCGCATCACATTGCAAGCATTTTATTTTATAGACACAATTAAATAGAGAATCTTTAGGGATTTAGCATTTTATATGGACAAGGTTGTTTCGTAGTGTGTCTGATGTTTTAAAGAAAACTTTAATGTCGAGTTGATTGAGTACTCTTCTGATACCGTCTGATGTCTGTGATATAGATGGAATGACAACCGTTGAGGTTCATGTCTTCGGAATACGTTTTCGACCATATTTAATGTCAGGGTTGATTTTGTTGGTGTTTTGCTTGCGAATAATATTTTCTTGCAAACTATTGTTCGGATAGCAGTCACAATTGGGACACATCAATTTGCCTCTGTAGACTTGAATTTATCGGTCATACCATGCGTCTACTAGTAAAACGCGCTCGGTGACAATATCCAACCAAGCTAGCAAAGGGAGAACGGGGTTGTGTATTTCGACGGCAATACATCTAATGAACTGAGGCCACTCGGATTCACTTCAGAAATCCTTAAAAGTTTTGTATAATCTCATAGGGAGTGAGACCAAGACAACTGGGCACGGCTGAGTTGTTAGAAAACCCGAATTTCAATCCGACAGTATGTATCCTGAAGAGTTACGTTTAACCTTTGTCTTGACCATGACCATCATGACCAATCTACTTTCCAGACAAAAAAATTATTTACTCAAGTTCATCATCCGAACTTCCTGTTTATTTTTTTGAATCCCTATTTGTATTATGTAACTTCACCGTATTATTCGCTATACTTCGACCTCTGACCGGAAATAGTTCTGGAAAATTCTCATCCTTGTGTTGTGAATTCACAAACGTAAAGCCTTGTTGACGACTTCTTAGGCGAGAAAAATGAAAACTTTCTAAAGCACTGATAAAGTGGAAAAATAGCCAGGAAGACAAGATGTGATAGAAAGTATAAGACGTAGATTAAATAATAAATTCAATATTTAGAAAGAAAATAAGGTGGGTATATTTCTACAACACTTTTTCTATGCTTTCAGTAGTGATTGTACTGTTTTCGCCAGGTAGGTTCACTAGCCTCATTGCCAACCTTTCCTCTTCTTCTAGACAAACACCTACCATGTAAACTAGGCGTCACGAAAAACATTTCCAATAGGCTATAGCAGACTTTTATCAATAGCTGTTTTTGCTGCAGACTGACGATTAGATGACCAGAAAAAATTAGCAGTAATGAACTCCGACAACGACTTGTTGACGAAAAAATTATGCGGAAGAGAATGGTGATGTATAGGACACATGCTGAGCTGAGAAAGCTGTTGGGTAGTGTCACACGTCAGGCAGAGACCCTCGAAGAAAACCCTAATGGGAAACGAATTTTTTGGAGGATTTGGAATCTGTGGGTGACGTGAAGGAGATCGAGTGAAGACGGAATGAATGAAAGCTTGTGGGCAACCGTGGAGCCAATTTAAAACAACTACAGAGAACATAATGAAATGGAGATATGTTTTTTCAAGCCCTGTGTTCCATTCGGAAGACAAGAGAATAATAACAATATTTCTACTACTGTCAATAATTTTAAAAAAATGTAGGCCAAGGAAAACCTGGAAGCACTGATCTTTTTTACTGTTGGGAAAATAATCAAATCCCTCCAAACCAACAATTAATGGCTAACAACCTGATGCTAATTAGTGACCGACTCTATACAGAAAGTTACCTAGAGTTCTGGGGAGAAGTCGTACACAGCAGGATCCACCAAGTTAGGTATATATATAGAGAGCGAAGTGGCAGAAATTAGAATTCATGGGCTGACAATTGAATCGAGTCCCAGTGGCTGAATGATCTAAGAGCTTGCCTTGTGACCGAAAGTTCCTGGGTTCAAACCCACAAGGTGGGTGCGTACCTCCGAAGAGTTCCAAACTAGGACGAAACAGGTGTCCAGTGCTCTCACGGTTTCCAGTCGTTCTCTAACCAATGTCAACTCATGATGAAACTTGTAGCCAATAAAATCCTTGCAAACCAATACTTGATAAATAATAAGAAGTTATACCAAGTTACTCACACAACTTTTTCCTTCATCTATATACATGTGTGGAATCGATAAGATATTGGAAAAAAATTCAATATGAGATAATGTACATTCAGGAATAATAATACGAGTGTTATTGACCAATTATAATTAGATGGGAAATGAGACGAGTGTTTTTATAGTCATAATAAGTAACTTGTTAGAATGTTGTGATGTGCTTGAATTGAAATAGAAATTTGAGATTATTTATTATCCTCCTCTGATTTGACTGACTGGTGGTAATAATATCTTCCATATCTCTGGTATTTGCATTGAGTCAATTCTGTTGCATGTGTTGTGTTGGGTGTAGACTCGATGAACAAGGATTCCGCAATCAACCTCTCTTTCCACCTATCTATATTACTTTTTAGAATTTTAACCCTATCCCATCCTATTGTGTGGTTGCTTGTTAATATGTGAAGTGCTATTGCTGAGCTTTTTTCTAAACTACTTATCTTTTCAGGGTCAACCATTCTAACCTTAACTAAATTCTTATGTTCTCATAATCTGACTACTCCTGCCTGATCTACTAGTTTGACTGAACTATGTAGTTGACTTGACTCACAGTCATTGCAAGGTATTCTGTAAACTGTATTATTTTGTTTAATTGGGTCCACCGACGAGGTCCTTTAGCCTACAGAGCTTGTCCCTGAGAGAGTTTGTAGGCTTGAATGCCACCCTAATTCCTGCTTTATTAAGAATCCTACGTAAGGTCTCATGTGGATGTTATATGGTATAACAGTGGATGACTTATATTCTCTCTTATTTATGTTATCATTACTAGTTCCATAATTATTTTTATTTTGTTTTTGACCTCTACTGATCTTCCTAATGAATTTATAGTTATTCAACACCAACGCTTTCTTCTATCTGTTTTATTTCATCATGTAGGTCTTTTTTTGTGCTACTTAGTGCTATGACTCGGTTTGTTAGACACTTAACTAAGCCTGCCTAAATAAGTTAGGCTAGAATGAGTACTTTCGGAGCTGTAGTCTGAAGACTTCTCTCTCTTCATATATATATATATATATATATATATATATATTGAGAAGCATATTCCTGAAAATAACAGACAACTCAACCAATACCTTAACCAGTGTCTACAGGAGTTGACTGTGTCATACACTACAAACATGTATATTTATTCGCTGACCTTGAAAATGCATACTTCCACTGACTAATCATAAGGAAGAAGAAAAACAGGCATCTATGAGGGAAGAATAGACAACAAACACAACAGAATGCTACAAAGGAAATAATAATGATATTTTATTCCTTTTCATGCAAGCGTGTACATCATTTCAACGGCATATATGGTATATATATCACTTTCATATCAATAAATGAAGCATAAACACAACGTCAATAGATGTTGGTAATATAGTGTAATTCGATATTATATGTATAGATAGATATATGTATAACAATTTACAAAAGGAATACAATGAACAATGAACAGAATATATGGCTAGGCAGGTTTGTATACACAGGCATAGTGATTCAAATATAAAAGTACCATGTGTATATGTATATATATGTGTAAGTTGAATATGAACAATAGGAGAGGAAGAACGCGAAGAAGAAACGCATTTCGTCTCCTTTCTTTTGATTGAATCATCAGGTAAAAGTGTGTGTGAATGACGACTGATTATCAGTGCTAAAACCACTCCTCGTTATACTTCAAATGGAATTAAAATCCTTCAACCACATAGAAGTCCACCAATCACTTACACAAACATATTACCTATACATGTATATACAGGGGATGATATAAACTTCAGGAAAAAAAAGACGTAAATTATGCTCAAAGTACTAATTGAAATACTTGTTAGTAAGCAAAAAGATACAGGTGAGAGAACAGCATTTTTGTTCGTGCTTTCCCTCGAGTTGAAAAAAAGGAGCTCTCCGAACTATATCTCCTTTGTCATCAGTGCCATAAATTCTTCCAAATTAACTAAAGAAGTGTAAAAAGGCAAAGAAAAACAAAATAAAAATTTCCAATGCAAAATAATCGAGCAATGAATATTCTTTTCGATAAATTCCTTTTCTGGCTCTACAATTATATATACATATATATGTTTATATACACAGAATATTCTAGATTAGTAGTCAATAACAGTATTAGTGTTTTTTAAATAATATCGATTTATCAAGTATGATCAATGCAATTATAGTTGATTAAAGATGCTTAAATTATAATAATAATAATAAAGATATAATAGCAAATAGAATATCAACCAAAATTAGGAAAATTCCACAGGATCATTCAAACCTAGATGGCCAAGATAAGGATAATGTCTGAACTAACTTCTTTTGGACGCACAAATTAGGCTTGTTAATATCGATCCCAACAGCCAGCCTCAGCAATATTTAGTAGTCGAACTCTTAAGGGAAAATTGAGATTCGTTGGTATGCGGTAAATGACCCTGAAAGCATGGTTAACGTCAATCTTGTATTCTGTATCCACAAGATGAGACAGAATGGCGCTGAGAATAGATTTTGTTTGTCCTTTTCCTGAACCACGCAGGGTGATGTTCGGAAATTCGACGAGAAACACGTCTAATTGTACGTCTTATGTAACTGGCTCCATAGGAGCAGTTAAATTTACAATGATTTCAATGATTATCGTGCTTAAATACCTGGTAGTTAAAACAATGCATAGATTATATTTTCTAATGCTGGGTGGAATTGTGTTACAACTAAAAATTATTCGAAACTAACTAGTTGTTTAGGCTGATCAGAGTGAGGATTGCCTAAATCTGTTTCAGCTTTGAGACTCAACTGTAAAGGTTTTTCTGATCAGCTTAGGTAATTTAGGCAGTCAAAGATATCTTTTTGGTGATTTCATTCTCAAAAGTTGTTTGTCTGCGCTAAAAACTGTTTGACATATGATGTGACTATTTTTTAATCTTATGTGATTTTCCAGTATTTCGCTTGATTAGTTGCAGGATTTCACCATAGGCTAGCATCGGTTAGAGAACCAATGGAAAATCTGCAAGGAGTACTGGAAAGCTGTTTCGCCAACTTAGCTTCCGAATTTCAGCAGTACGCACCCACACTGTCGGGTTCGAGTCCAGGACTGTCTGGTTACAAGGCTAGCGAGCTCGTAGACCATTAAGCTAGTGAGACCCGATCCAATAGCCAGCCCATGAATTGTAACTTCTGCCAATACACGCACGATATAGCGTGACGACTTATATAATTTCATTTCTATGCCCCACTGAAATTTATATTCCCGTTTCACTAAAGTGGCTGGCTTGTAGGAATACTCCCCCTTGCGGTTACTGTGACAAAGATTTCAGTCTTCGTATCACCTGAATGTTTTAACCGAAATACATTCAAAAGTTGTGAACTAAAACAAATTATTTTTCCAATAATTTTGATTCTCTCATATGAAATTTAGAGATTAGTTAATCTTTTTAAATAACGTGTGTCATGAAGACAGGGGGAATTTACTTCTAACACTCTATACTACTCATTAACAGGTATGAGTAGTTGGAAGTCACTTACATTAAGAAGTAGTGCTGCGTAGCCAGATAAACGTGATTTAAGCACAGAACAGCCGTTTTACTTTCTTGGAGCAAAATTCAGTGGTGGTGGTGGTGGTGCAACCTGAATTAATGAGCTCAAATTAGCTATCTGAGTGAATCAGTAACAAGTATAACCAAATTTAGAGGGTGAGGAATCACTGTACCAAGAATATGCAGAACACAATATGAGATCTTCCTAACACCGTATAAAAGGCAATCAAGAAAGTAAGCGCTATTGTTTGAAATGAAAGGCTTTCAACGACTTATACTAGTGAGTCAATCAGAGTAGTACAGCGTATAGCGCTCGCTTTCTTGATTGGAATTTATATGGTATCAAGAAGATTGTAGACCCAGTGATCTAAATATTTCTGATTTCCCTCACTTTGTAATCTAAAAAATAAGGAATTTGATGGTAGCAGATAATTTTTTATTTAGCAATCTACAATACACTGACGCATATGAGAATACGTTTTGTAGATTTTCTTTCTTTCTTATTACAAAAAAGTATAAAAAGACGAGAACAACTGAAAGACAAATGAATAATAATAATATTTATGTATATTTAAGCGTTGGTTTGTAGAGATTTGATTAATTGGTTACAGGATTTCATTATGAGCTGACATTGGTTAGAGAACCATTAGAAAACTAGCTGAGAGTACTGGACAGCTGTTTCGTCCTAGTTTGGGACTCTTCAGCGGTACGCACACACGCTTAGGGGTTCGAACCCAGAAATGTCTGGTTACAAGGCGAGCTCGCATCCCATTGAGCCACTGGGACCCGATCCAATGGCTAGCCCATGAATTCTAACTTCTGCCAATTCACGGTATAGCGCGACCTCTAGCCAATGTCTTCGGTGGTGAGTATTTGTCCTCACACCGGACCTAGTGCCTTATATGCCCCAGAGAGTGAAAGAACACAGAGCTTCAAGTCTTGAGCTTTAAAGTCTCACTAGTCATGGTGTTGATTGTTTGTTTACATGATAGTGGGGTTGATAGTCCCAGACACAACATTCCATCTTCAACGGGCTTACTCTACTTACTTACTGTCTAAGCAAGATTAAGGAATTCATCGACTTGGGAGTCAAACTTGAGCCACTTGCGGTGTGGTTGACAAACATGTATGCCTTACCAGCATAAGAGATTAACGTGTGTTTTTTTTGCTTTCAAATATGGAGGTTATTTACTATACGAGAGAGAGAGAGAGAGAGACGGAGAAAAAAGTGCACAAAGTAAGAAAGAAATTCATTCATGCACTGCAGGTAACCCTGCAATCGTATTCACTTGTTTACAATGAAAAACAAAATAAGGGAAAAAACACGGTAAATCAAATAACAAGGGAAAAGAAGAAAGAAATAACAGGAAGATGATGGTAATATAATAATAATAATATCATTTATAAATAATGTATGCGCATATACTTACGAAAACAAAGCATACAGACGTAAGAATCAACGCACACACACACAGGAAAAAGCGTAGGCGTATAATACAAATAGATAGGTGGGTGGGTGGAGGTAGTTGGATTGATTCATCACTCTAGAGAGTAAATAAGCCAACAAGTGTACTACTAATGGTCAAAAAGGCATACAAAAGAGATAGATAGATGGATAAATAGATGGGTAGGTAGGCCTAATAGGTAGATATTAAAGGGAGTAAACAGAGAAAATAGTCAAAAATATGAAAGGATAACTGTGATGCAGCATTGTGCTCGTGAATAGTAAGTCAGTCAGTCATTCATTCATTCATTCAGTGAAAAGTAATAAATAAAATACATATATGGAACGACGTTAGATAGGCATGTTGCTGTTAGTGATAATAATGACAATAATCGGAATAATTAGTAGTATATAATGAATATAACAATTATTACCATGTATAGATAGATAAAAGCACAGATACGCTATATATATAGATGTTTTGGTATAGTTTAGTTGGATACTAATATTTCCGACTCATTATGAATAAATGTACCTCTATTCACTTAGAATGTACACATGAAAATATTTTTGTTATATGGAGTATATTCACTTGGAGAATAATAATAATAATAAGTGGATAAAAATAGTATTGTTAAATGATGACAGAAAAAAACGATACATCTTATTGTACAATGGGACAATATAATTATTATTATTATTACAGTTGCATTTCCCATGGTTTCTCTTCATAAAAACAACGAACTGAGAGGACAGATTAGGTGTATGCGTGTCTCTGTTTACAACATCCTATAAAGTCATAAAAATTTCCAAGCTTTTAGTATGCATAAATCAAACTTTGATGCTAACTAATAAAAAAACTGTACATGAAATACGCAAAAATGTAGAAAATATAAGTGTTCGACTGCAGAGTATGTGAGTATGGTAGTGTTCACTAGAGGAAAATTTCAAGATAGTCAAACCAAAACAATGACGCCAGTGTCAATGATGTCATTGGGTGTTAATCAGAGTCACATAGAGAGCTGTAAACTGTCTGCTTGAGGTCCTCAATGCTTTAAGGGTCAATGACTGGAGGCGATTGGTAATATTAGTCGAAGTTATTCTCAATAGCGTAGATGCATTCACATTTCATGATCTCCTAGATCCCCTGAGACCTCCTTTATTTATTTATTTCTCATCCCTTTGACTCCCGAATGGGACATAGGGAGGGCTTCAGACTTGACGCATTTAAATTTCAGTACCAATGGTGTTAACTTCACGGCGTGGAGTCGTTAACCTCACACTCAATCTTATTAGTAAACTAAGTCAGGTTTATGAGCGCACCGACCTGGAATCCAACCCTGGATTATGTGTGCACAGTTGGCGGGCATTGTATCACTAAAACCATCAACGCACAAATCTTTATTTATTATATTTCACTGAAGAATGCTTTCCTCTATCTAAGTTAGAAATTCAGCTCAGTTCAGGATATATTTGAGAGCTGTTACAAATTTATGCTTTCCCGTTAAACCACTCAAATAATGAAAATTAAGACAGTATGCCCTATTTAATTTGTGGTTGGTGATTAGCAGTGGAATCCAGGATAAAGCGCATTTCGTCCTATTTGGGACTCGTCATCTGGATGTACCTGCATTTCTCAGTGAGTGATGATGTTCCCATCGAAGCTCGAACATAGAGCCCTTAGTTTCAAACACCAAAGTATTATCCATTAAACCACTTGGGCCACAAGAGCCACCTCTTACGCAACGGGTCATATTAATTTAATTGGCCCAAATGGTCTAGTGGATAACGCTTTGGTGTTTGAAACTAAGGGCATTGAGTTCGAGCTTCGGTGGGAACATCATCACTCACTGAGAAATGCAGGTACAGCCAGATGACGAATCCCAAATAGGACGAAATGCGCATCCTGGATTCCACTAATAGTCACCAACCAGACATCGTCGAAGCATCTGCAGAAGAAGCCAACATGTCAACCAGAGACCCGACCACTTCGGTCCAATCAATCAACGGGAAAATCTCAAATCCGGTGGCACAGTGGTTAGGACTCTCGCCGACCATGCACATGGCCCAGGGTTCGATCCCCTGCCGACGCACACCTGATATCAATGGTCGGCCTGAAAAATTTGGACTACCGACATCACATACTGAAAATTTCATACTTCTACCAAAGAGTACTGTGTGGAATCAAGCTATAATCAAAAATGAGAAAAAATAAATAGTAGTTTAGCCCAGTCATAATCTTTTATCTCATATTCGCTTGAAGAAAAATTACATACTTTAACGTGAGAAAGGAAAGCGCTATTCAGTACTACTAGCTGTGCAAAATAAGTAAGTGGTAACACTCACTGAAATTAATAAATCCCTCTTAAAACTTACGTGCACCATCTCCGTCTCGATCGAATTCTTCTATCATAGCACGAAGTTCTTGATCGGATAAATTTTCTCCAAGTTCCCTAATGTATAAGACACATGAAAAGAGAGAAAGAAAAGTGAAAATTCAAATGTGTTACGAAAATTGAATACTCAGAGGTAAAAGGTATGAAAAACGCTCAATATTTGTCAAAAAAATGTTTAAAACAGGATTACTAGTGTGGTCGGTTAATATAACACTGCGCATAATGATGTATTTGCGCGCGCGCGCGTGCGTGTGTATGTGTTTTTTCTCTCCCAAGTTTATGCAATAGGATGTGATAAGTCTGATAATGTTTCCTAAAACTGGGTCTGCATATAAAACTATCTGCTTTTAATGTATATGATTGAGACAGACAACATTTTAGACAACAAACACAAAAAAATATTGTCAATATTGATTCCACCAGCCAGACAAAAACAAACTGGAATGAATCACTATCGATTGGCAGACATATATGTGTTGTATATATTTATATCATTTAGGTGGTGGGATAGGCATAAATTTTGGTGGATGATAAACTTATAAGTTGGTTGACTGAATACAAGTCAAATATGGTAATGTATCCATATAGGTTAGAAGTGATACGATACTCAAAAATATGAAGACGTATAAAGAAGAGCCATATTTGTAGGGTAAGGCAAGAAGTGAGACGACGGACAAAAGAAGATGGATAGAATTAGAATAGAGGATTTCATAATGAGCTGACATTAGTTAGAGAACCACTGGAAAAACTGCTGGGAGTACTGAACAGCTGTTTCGTCACAGTTTGGGACTCTTCAACGGTACGCACCCACCCCAGCACCACGGTTCGAACCCGGGACCTTTTGGTTACAAGGCGAGCCAGCTCGTAGACCATTGAGCCACTGGGACCCGATCCAATGGTCCTTGAATTCTAACTTCTGCCAATTCACGACATAGTGCGACCATTTCGCAATGTTTTCTTCAATGAGTTACTGCCTCATCTTCAACCTGCTGTACCCTACTGGTCACAGCTTCCCACTAGAACCCCAGGTCACTGCCTGAATAGGGCCAGTTATGATGAAATCCTCCATGCAATAAAAAAAATCCCTACAAAACCAATACTTGCGAATTAGAATAGTATGATAAAAGGACTTAGCATATCATAAGCTTCGATAATGAGTGAATAATAATAATAGCAGCTTTATTCCAAACAGTATTTGTGGTACAGGTATGGAATTTTCAGCGTGCATTACAATACATTGAATCTAATTGCCTCATAACTTTTATAAGATTTTAAAATCAAAAAGCAACACCCAAAAAAGAAGATAAATAAAAAAGAAAAAGAAACAGCGTTGCGTTTACATTTTAAACAATGCACCACAGGATATGAAATATAAAATTGGTGTGTAATAGAAGATGAGAACAACAGTGTAATAGTAACGAGGAAAGGAAAACAAAAACTAATGGGACTATTTGTTAGAATGCGGCAGTAAGTTGATCGTATCATACCTAACGAATTTCTCATCACATAACAGCTGTGCCAGATATGGTATTATGGAGTTTTTGCACTTGGTAGTCCTACCATATAGCCTCCTATAGCTGCTTCTAGTTCTTCCAGATGAAATGAAAGGAGACAGCTGCGTGTACAGAGGATGCTCGGGGTCTGACAATATTGTATTCGCTAGTTTCTTACATGACATTATATGTCTATCCACAATAGTGTTAACCAGTTGGTTTAGTGTAATGAACCGGAAGGAATATATGTTGAGCAATAGGCCATTGGTTGGTTTCGTTACAAGAGTTTCTTGTTTCCAATTCTTTCTGGCTATTTGAACTTCAATATGGAGCGAGAAAAAGCAGATGTTGACTAAAATATGCAGCCTCTTGGAAATGATTTACGTGATACACGTGCTAAGTTTCTGACCCCCCATATAGAAGGATTGACTTAACACTGATATTGGAAATCTGAATCTTGTTCCTTATACAGACTGAAGAGGAGTTCCAAATCGACTTCAGAAGAGTGAAGGTCTACCTTGCCTTTACGGCCATGGCTGGCTTCAACACCCTCACACCGTCGCCTGTAGTTGAAAGGATGCTGACTAGATAAGTAGTAGTGGTTATCTTTCTCATTTCCATCTCCTATATCTTCACTTCAAGTTTTTTCTTCTCTGATTCTTCTGAAAGCGTTTTGTTTTTCATTTGTATATTTTTTTAGTTTGCGTGACATTAAACATAAACCATCCACGCGCGAAATTCAGATCTTCTAAACTCTTTTTATCGGTGCAGATTATCTCTGTCTTCTCGTTACCGACAAGTTTTTCACACAATCCAGTCCAACACAATTAGGAATATCATCGGTAGTAGTCAGCCTTGTCTTCCTCATGTCTTTGCTTCAAAGGCTTTGCTGATTTTTCCATTGCGAATCACCTGACACGTGGCATCGTCGTATAGTCAGTCAGCTGTTGAATAAGGTTCATAAAGATTTGCGACACGCCGTAGTATTGAAGCAGTTGCTAAATTACTTCTCGGCTAACGTTGAGCTACCGAAGACCTTCTCGGCATCGATTAAGTTAAGGTATAGGTTTGACTGTCATTCTATGCTTTGTTCGATGAAGATGCGTAGAGTTGCAATTCGATCAGCACATGATTTGACTCTCCTGAACCCAACTTGTTCCGGTTTGGCGGAGTTCTGTATCAAGTGCATCTTTTATTTTCTCTAGGATGACGTGACTTAGTATTTTACTAGACATGTACAAGAACATCATTCTGCGCCAGTCCTTACAGAGGTTTAAATCGCCCTTCTTGGGTAATTTAAGGAATTAACCTTTCTTGAACTGGTATAGAAAATGATAATTTCCAGTTATGACATGAAGGGAGAACTATATGTAAATTCACCTAAAAAGAAACGTTGCAACTGGTCTTGAGTCACATTTAGCTTCCAAGAAAAACTGTAAATGGTTTATATCAAATAGCATTACGTTACATAACAAGTTTCGTAATTATTAAGAATGATCAGTCAAGTAGTCGATTAGAAGTTTAATTTATTTGAAAATACGGTGAAACTTTGTCCCGACTTCAATGTACTGAAAGGAGAAACTGCACAATCATTGATAGTGGTCATGTAAAGTGTATATGCGATATAATCAGTGGTAAATACATGATAAAAGTGTTATGCATTCCAAGGAGACATTTTTGTTCATTTTATACGTCAAGAGAGGTGCAAATCTGACAAAGGTAATCACCCTTTAAGGGTGAACAAATCTGGATTATTTCGCTTTACGCAATACACTACTAACAAGTAGTTACACAAATACCGAGTGCATTTCACACCGACATAAATTTGAAATCATTTTCAACCCATATAGAGAGAACGCTGTTTTTAGAAATAATTGTTAACCTGATAATAACCACATGATGGATCGATTACGAGCACGAAAATGTATTGAAAATATTAGTCATTAAACAACAGTATATGACTGTGATACATTGTTACAAAGAGCCAACTACAATAAATCACAATATCTTGAAGAATACATGTAGGCTGTTTAAGTTTTAATGCAAACAAGGGGATGCAGATTTCATGGAACTCAGAAGGATTCATACAGTACTTTATCAAAACACCTAAAGGAAACATGATAACTATTATTGAATCATGTTTTTGATTTCCCATTGACATATCTGGGAGCATTGATCAGCTTCATTTCGACAAAAGACCTCCTTGAACAGATGTCTCGATATGACTAGGATTAAGAAATCAAAGTTACTTGTTTGGTGGTGGTTAGCGACAGAATCCTGGGCGCGCTATTCGTTCTGTATACAAAAATGAAGCTGACCAGTGCGATCAGATATATCAGTAGGAAATCACTAGCAAGATTAAGTAGTTTCAAATCATACCTGTTACAAAAGATGTGGATCAAAGTGTGGTGCTTTAATGTTTGAAAGCGTTATTAGTGGGTTTAAGTCTCCTCACTACTCATCGGGGAAGATGTACATCCAGATGATGATCGTCGAATAGGACAAAAACCGGGGTCCTAAAATCTGCGGCTGGTCAAGAGCTATGTCATGACCTACAAATATTCCCAATATCTGATATAAAAGACTTATAACTTGGGATAACGATGGGCACCGTTTAGTATTCTTCTTTCTGTGGCATTTGCTTGTGGAGGCTTTAGTCGATAGGCTTGACGACATCTGCATCAATCACTTCGTTAAAAAATGAGGCATATTCGCAAGTAGCATGAAATATTTAGTCATTCCTCTTCTTTTCCTTCCTTTATTTTGAAGCTCTTTTTCTGGACGACTACCGGATAGCAAACTAAGCGATAGATAAATGTGCTAACCAGTAGTCCAACCCGAACTACATGCGTGGTTGGCGAACTTATTACAACTGGACCACTGACTGACGTATATGCCTAGTCCAATTGTAATTGAGAGAAGAGATTTCTGTTACTTAACCTCTTAACATCAATAAATATTCAAATATCCTGAAAATGAAAGAACACCAGGTTGTTGTTGTATACAACTATAAAGTTTCCTACTTTCCTTAAATTTTTCCATAGTTAAAAAGCCTACAGATAATCAAGGTAGATAATAGTGGTAAGTTATTGTAAAAGAGGCATACAAGTATAAAGAAAATGGGTCTTATAATTATGTAATTTTTTTCTCGACCTGAGTGTGAAAAACAAGAAATATTAAAATGTACCTCTTTTTGGTTTTCTAATTATTTTTTGTATTGTTTGTGAGACTTTTAAGGAATACGCAAACTCATTTACATACAGTAAACTTTTAATCTTTTTAAAGTACATACGCAGTTATAGTTTACTAACTCCAAGATATTAACATCTGGAAAGGTTTACTTTTCCCTTCATTAGGACTCTGAACTGTACTTGTTAGATAACAGTAAACATGCGCCACACATGCAAAGAAATAATAAAATAAAACAACAATATAAGGAGAATAGGGAGAGGGAAAATCGCAGAAAACATCCAGAAAGCAAGCAAGCGAGTATACTTGCCCATATCATTCAAAGGATGGTTCATTTCTGTAGTATACCCGACAGTGAATATCATTCCAACTATATCTGATAATCTCGCAAGCTACTAACTCAAATTACCTATCGGACCTTGCTCACAGTGTTGAAGCACACCAACACTACTATGCTTCATCCCACAGCACCATGTCATTGGCTGACCCAGCCAGTCTCAGAGCCAGCAACAATGAGCAGTGTAGGAGCCGCTAGGATGACAAATACGTAGCTGCAGAATCTGGTATCCCAAGATGACAACAGTTATTGAAGGAAAATCTCCACTATTTAACAACACACGCCATTGCAGGATCTCAGAATTACTTAAACGATGATGCCAGTGGATGTTAGCAATTCCACGAACATATTGATGGTCTAATACTCAGAGTCACCACACAGCCTCAGTTCAGAGAGGCCACACGTTTGACAGACGTAAAGCTAGACTGTGCACACCGAAGCATTTGTAAACCTGTAGTTTAAAAGTAAGTTAGTAAGAAGTTGCAGTTTACGGAGCATTCGATTCCAACCCAAGTGGCTGAATGATCAACGAGCCTGTCTGCATAATCTAAAGATCCCGGGTTCAATTCCTGGTGGGTTTGTAGGTGCGTACTGCCGAAGAGTCCCAAACTAGGAAGAAACAGCCCTTCTAGTGACCACTGGTCTTCAGGGATCTCTAGCCAATGTTTATCTGTGACTAAATCCACATTGAAATTCTTCCTGTGATGTTGCATAGCTTGTTGTCGTGCTTGAGTGCACCTCTTTGAAATGTAGAAAAGTGATAAGCCTTAAACCTTTTATAAACCGAAGTAACATTTCATAGGAATAAAATCATAGACAAGTGAAGTGTGTCTGATAAATAACTAAACCGATTAGCGGTTGTGTTACGTCACACACTGAGGAGAGGAAAATTCGCTGAAAATCAAGTTAGCTAAACTCCCATAGAAAACAATGAAAGTAGTTGTAATGTTGTTTGTTCTTTCCACTAAACTGAAATATGAATGATGAAACACATTGATATAACAACTGTTAAACCTATGAATGTACCGCTCTCCTTCCATTTCTTATATTCTGAGTGGAACACAGGACTTCAGGATTGAGAGCTTTGAAGTGTCACTAACAGTTGGGTGTTTTTATAAGGTTGGGGTGGCTGTCCTCACACTCAACTTTCCGTCTTTTCTGTCAGGTAGAAAACTAGGCGTCGGAGGGGGACTGAACCCCTGACAACATGCGTGGTTAGCAAGGATTTTACTCTTGAACCACAGATGCACAAATATACAACTCAGAGCAGTAGAAAAGTAGTCTTTTGGATTGATCGCTTGTTGGATTTTTCCCCACCTAACATTACTTCAGATATCCATGAATATCTGAACTCAGTTCAATTAATACAGGTTGACAAGATTATCCACTAAATCACCTAACAGGGTTCGCATGGCAGCATCCTCACCGGTGAAGATGAAGATTAACAATCTCATTGGTTGAACTTTCATCCTAATCTCAACATTACTGATTCTATGGAGGATTTAATCATGAGCTGACATCAGTTAGAGAACCACTGGAAAAACTGCAGGGAGTACTGGACAGCTGTTTCGTCACAGTTTGGGACTCTTCATCAGTACGCACCCACCGGGATTCGAACCCAGGACCTTCTGGTTACAAGGCGAGCCAGCTCGTAGACCATTGAGCCACTGGGACCCGATCCAACTGTCCTTGAATTCTAACTTCTGCCAATTCACGACATAGCGCGACCACTTCGTAATGTCTTCTTCGATGAGCTACTGCCTCATCTTCAACCTGCTGTACCCTACTGGTCACGGCTTCCCACTAGAACCCCAGGTTAACTGCCTGAATAGGGCCAGTCAGTTACATCACCACAAAGGACCACTGTAATAAAGGAGATACCTATTATCGAGAATGTGACTTGAGTGTTTATAATGACACACTTTTCTTAAGTAACAAATTACGGTTGGTGATATAAGGCATGTATCTAGACAATTCAACGTGCTTTGTACCATAAGCTAGAATTACAATAATTAATGCAAGAAGCCTCTATCTTCCAAAGACTAGTGCTCTTTTTGTAAAGAGTGAGAGAAATAGTTTGTATTTGAGTAATATAAATTTCGAGAGATGACATGTTTTCAAATACTTGTCAATAACACTTGTAACACTGAAGTTACCTCTAGAGGTGTTCTGTGGAGAGGATAATGAAAGTTCAGCAATTGAACTATTCAACTCAGAATATACAACACGACGAAAAACATCCGTCTGAGCTAAATATTCTCTCCACTATGTTAAGATTTCATGCAAGTAAGTATGATGTATCTAATTTCTGCACTCAGCATAAGGAACAAGATTCAAATTTTCAACACTAAGATCAAACCAGTTAGTTCTTCTATGTTGTTCAGAGACTTGGGGCACGCTATACGAAAAGCATTTCCAACAGCCTGGAGACTTTCATCAACAGAGCTACCTTTCTTGTCTCGATACTGAACATCAAGTGGCCAGAGAGGATAAGCAGTAAGGAACTCTGGTAGACAACAAACCAACCAAGAAACTGTCACCTAACGAATATGGATAAGGAAATTGAGGTGGCTTAGACACACGCTAAGGAGACTGTTGAATAACAACGTTCCAAGTCCTAGAATGGGAACCGGAGAGGGAACGACAATTGGGGCATTGGTCCGAGTGAAATGGAAAAAGTCGTGTGAAGAGCAGATCGAAGCATAAGGACAATCATGGAGACACCTGAAGAAGACTACAGAGAACAAAGTGAAGAAAATGTTTTGTGTAAGCCCTATATTCCATTCTGAACCGAAGAGAATAATAATAATAATTGCTTCTAAATAATACATAGGACTATGGCTATAACAAGTTAAACAAGCGAAACTCAATGAAATGCTATTTAACAATTAGCAGCTAATTGTATATTTCATGGTTATAATGTATTGATAATTATATATAAATATAATGGGAAAATAGGTAATTAATTTCGGATACATTAACATTGTCGGTCCTTTTTCTACTTGTACAACGAATTAAACAAAAATAGTTCATTTATTGTTTACGAATCGGATAACAAGTAGGACAACAAGCTTTTATCAAAATGCGACTAAATTTTAGACAAACAGTTTAGTAGGGATGTGTTTGTGCTAAAAAAGCGACATTTAGTATACATAAAAAAACAGCTGCCGAGAAATTTAAGTACATTTACTTCTAACTACTTATAAGTAGTACGATTCTGCTGAGGATATTTTGGAGTAATACAAAGACAATGGTGAAATTACACAGCATACCATACTACTTCACATACAACTTGTTCAAAAAATGAAAACTATTCATCATCAGGCAAGTGACTGTGACACACATATTCTAACATTTCGCCTAAGAAATGCAATGGTGAAATGATAAACAGAATTTTTAATATACTAGAGCTATATTATAAAGTAAACAATGTGTTTTTTATTGATACTGTTTCGAAAACAACTTATTGCAACTAAACATGATGGCATATATATATATGTATATATATATACATATATATATATATATAAGAGGAAGTTTGAAAGACTAAGATGATCGAACCATGTATATTCATTTTGACCACAGAACCTCCTCTATGTGACTGAACCTAGACCGACGTGAAGAACCTAGAAGACCTGGATTTCGCGCGTGGATGATTTATTTTTGATGTCACACAATATCGAAGACTTACAAGCGAAAACCGACAAACCGGTCGAAGCAGCAGCCGGCGAAGACAGGACTTCAGGTGAACATAGACAAGACGGAGGTTATGAAAATAACCAGCCAACAACAACAGAAACATCCAGCACCAATCACCATCAACGGAGGGATTCGAAAGAGGTGACTTCATTCACTTATCTAGCATTGAGCATTGTCTCAACTACAGACAGTCGGAACGGACGAGGATGTCAGTCAAATCGAGCGAGAATCGGGAAGGTAGGCGAGAAACACATTCATCAACCTGAAACAACCAATCTGGAAATCTTCGTCACTCAGCCAGCATCAACAACAAAACTCGGTCGGATTTTCAAAACAAACACATCAAGTCAGTCAGTTCTTCTATACGGATCAGAAACTTGGCGGGCGGGTCACAAAGAATATTTCCAACAACCTGTTGCAGACCAGACCTTTATCGACAACTAACTGTCTTCGCTGGCTCTATACTGAAGATCAGATGGCCGGACCGGGCTGGGCCGGAAAGAATCACCAACAAGAAACTATGGCTGGGAACAAACAAAACAAGAACCAATCGCCTGTACCGAAGAATACGGTGTGGAATCAAGCTGTAATTTAAAAAAAATATACAGGAGAAAGTGGAGATGGATTGGACACTCGTGGCTGAGGAGGCGGCTGGGTGACATCACGCGCGCGTCAGGCCATTGCTCGAGTGGAACCAAGCTGAAAGGGAAGCGGCGAGTGGGACGTCAGTGGAAGGCTGACATGGAGGAGATCGTGTGAAGAGGAGCTGAAACAGTATGGACTAATATGGATGCAGGTGAAAAGTACAGCAGAAGACAGGAGCAAGTGGAGACGTGCAGTTGAAGCCCTATGTTCCACTAGGAACCCAAGAGAACAATAATAATAATATGTGACTGAAACTGAAAAAATCGTTGAAATGGTGATTGTAGACGATTTGGAAATGGGAATATTTTTTTAGAGAAGATAGCTTGCAGTAAGCAACATCCTAGGGGTTTCCGTTTTAAAGATCACCAATATGTATTAGAAAGCATTTGAGATTACAAGGTATTCTATTGGATCCTGTAATCTATGGTTCCATTTATAACTTATTTAAACGTCTAGGAACATAACTAAAGTGTGTGGGTGGGAGGGAATTCTATGACAAACTCTGTTATCACTTTTGCTGATCTTTTATTTCCTTCTTTTTTACGAAATACTAATCAGTGTTAGAAGTCATTGATTTTGTACCAGTAATAATAATGATAGTAATAATAATAATAATATGAAAAAAGCAACAAGAGAAAACAAGACGAAAATTTACCTGGAAATTTTCTTTAAATTACGATAAGTAATTTTCCCATTATCATCTTCATCGAATAATTTAAAGGCACGAACAAGTTCTGTGACAGGATCTCTATCCAAAATCATATCTGTTACTGAAAATTTGAAAAAAAACGAGAGGGTAATATGCGAAATTCAAACCTAAAATTACCTTTCCAGAGTAGTTCATTTATTTACTAAGTACACTACATAAAGGGAGTTAAAACAGAATTTGTTGGAAGACTTCTTCATGAGCTGACATCGGTTAAAGAACCATTGGAAAACCCACAAGGAGAACTAGATAGCTGTTTTGTCTTGGCTCATCGGGACTCCTCAGAAGTACGCATCCACCGTCAGGGTTCGAACACAGGACCTTCTGGTTACAAGGTGACCTAGCAGAACATTAAGCCACTGGGACCCGATCCAGTGGCCAACCCATGAATTCTAACTTCTGTCAATTCATAACATAGTGCGACCACTTCGTAATGTCTTCTTCGATGAGTTACTGCCTCACCTTTAACCTGTTGCACCATACTGGTCACAGCTTTCCAACAGAACTCTAGGTCACTGCCTGAATAGGACCAGTCACCAGTGAGCATCAGCTCAATTTTCAAGTATTGATTTTGTAAGGATTTTTGTTTGATTGGTTGGAGGATTTCATCATGACCTGATATCATCTACGAGCTCACCTTGTAACCAGAAGGTCCTGGGTTCGAACTGGTGGTGTATGCGTACCGCTGAAGAGTCCCGATGAGTTAGGACAAAACAGCTGTGCAATTCTCTTTGCAGATTTTCCAGTGGTTCTCTAACCAATTAAACAAAAATTCTCTACAAATCCTATACTTGGAAACAGTATTTATTCCCTAATTATGACCTGATTCTGGACAGTAAACAGAGTTCAAAACGTCATTTAGTAAATGATAGTTTCGTTATGTGGTGTATCTAATATAAAATTGCAAACTATTCTGGTGGTCACGTCTTACTAACTAGATTACTTTATTTAACATTACAAATGCTACTTAGGTAGTCATTTTTAAAAAGCATTCACCTTGAAACCAGTGACATTTTGATGTATATATTACTATATACTCAAATGAAGTAATTGGCATTAATTTACCAACAAAGGTTGACTAAATACAGAAGATTAGTATACGTTCATAGCATTTAGTGATATGACTTCGAATCATTTTCCAAGTGAAACCTCCTCAAAGCTGGAGATAGGCAGTGGTGGGACGTAGTGACAACGAACGGTAAACGCATGTAGTATAAAGTTGTAAAAATGCATTATTAAAAAAGACAATTCTCAGTGATAACGTCTCTGAATCCAGCACTGGATGACACGGGTTCGAATCTCAGAAGGAACACGCTTTCCTCTAAGAATGCAGATACCCCTTCCTGAATGGTGATTGTCAAGAAACCCGAAACCTAGGTTCAAGACTTCCTACCGACTGTCTTCAACTGTCCAATAAAAACAATTCAGAACGCATTTTGATGGCGAGTCACGTAGCACGGTAGCCACACTGAAAACTTTTGACCAAGAGGATTCAATTCGCGCCAAACGAAGGGCTAGACGCATAACACTAATTACTAGCCAGTATCTAATCTTTTCAAGTCTATAAAAATAATCATTCAAAACCAAAGAATATGATTTTTTGTTTAGTGGTCAAAAGGAGGCTAATTTTTGATTGAATCTAAAGTAAATTTTCTAGGTTAAATTCACAATGGTTTTTCTTGAAGTGCAAGCATTTATTCAGAATTTCATTTACAGTTTAGTACAGATGAATTAAGGCCATGAAAGAAGTAGTTGAACGACCTTTTCTTCAGATGCCGTCAGAACCTATGAGTTTTAATTTAACGTTTGTACCCAAGAAAATGCTACTTATTAATCTTGAATTCAAAGGTGACTTAGCTGCTGACACCCTTAAAAGGAGCATCTCATAGCCCCTTGAAAAGGACCTTCATTGTAGCGTCCCTGGGAATAGTGTTTTTTAGCCAATCATCACTGCTAAATAACCTCAAGGAAAAGATTCCACAGCTAACCAAGTCTGTGTGTGTGTCTACCAATTCACCTGTTCCTGTGGAACTAGATAACGTGATCTCCCGATGCCAGTTTTATCCAAAAAGCCACAAAAACACTGTCCATCATGGTTACGATTTGATGGAAGTAGGATTGTAAGATGTTGATACTGGTCACCTAATCTCCAAAGTCTCTGCCTTTAAAGTCACCTGTACGGTGAAAAATAACCTGCCAAAATTTTACTTAGCCAATTCAGGTAATACTTCCATTAGTAAACCAGCGGTCAACTGGTGAACATCTTCACAGTGTTATTGTCCACAAAAACTGTTTTTGTAATACAACCAAACAGTAATAATAAAGAATTGTTGTAGTTCATCTACTCCGTACTGGGCTATGGCTTATACCTCTTGTGGAAGAGTTTATGATAATATCTGACGGTGTAAGAGAAGGTACGCGGATATGGCTGTAACCTGAAGATCAATTAGTTGAGAGTCAATTCCGTAATCAACGCCAAAATTCTGCCAAAAACTTTTTAAGTATTGGTTTGTAGGGATTTGATTGGTTACATGATTTCATCATGAGCCGATATCAGTTAAAGGACCATTGGAAAACCCGGGAGTACTGGACAGCTGTTTCGTCCTAGTTTGGGACTCTTCATCAGTACGCACCCACCGGGGTTCGAACCGAGGACCTTCTGGTTACGAGGCGCGCTCTTATACGATTAAGCCACTGGGACCCGATCCAATGACCCATGAATAATGAAAGCAAAAAAAGTATTTCACAGAAAAGACCTTTTCCGGTGAATTCATTTTCCTTTCCTATACAATCGCATTTATATAAAAAGTTTTCAAACCAATATTATATATCCTGACTAATCCATCAAATTAGTGGACTAGACAACCTTTCTACCGTACATTTGAGAAATAATATCTTCAGAAATAATATAAATCATAGATGAAGTTTTAAAAAAGTTGTTTTTTTACACCCATTTCAGAACTCTAGCAGTGGGCAAGTTTTTTTTGAAAGAAGTCATTCTTACCTATTTCATTAAAATCTTCAAATCGAAGTTTTCCAGAATCTTCTTTGATATTATAATCTTCTAAAGTTTTCAGTACCTCTTGCTTTTTCAGTTCGAACCCAAGTGCTCGAAGTGCAACCTGATACACATAAAGGAATAATTGTCAGGAATAAATTTCTACTTACCTTAAATTCATAATAACTGATCTCCTGATCTTTGTCTGTATCAAAAAGATCGAAAGCCTCAACAATTTCCTGCTTTTGTTCTGGAGTCAGTTCTCTTCGTTTACGACGTCGAATGTTATCTGTAATACCTATAGAAAGTACAAAATAACAGCTATTAATTGTATTTATGAAACATGGTATTTGTGTTGAATGGAATCAACAGAATGATGTGTTATGACAATAGTTTCACTGAAAATAAAAGTAAAAGAGTTGCAAACTCTTTGAGCAGAAATCTAAAGTTTGATCTTTTTATAAACCACTGAGTATTGAAGAATATACAGACACTTTGATGTTTTTGCTGCAATTTGACTCCAACGTACTTCACTTAAGCCTGATATCTCAGATTCAGTCATATGGACAGGCCAAGGGTATGAATTACTAATTCAGAAAGTAGGACGACATAAGTGTTTACTGATGGCGTTTGGAGCACATAATTTCCTGATATAGTTTATATAAATAATAATTTTTATCCATTGATTCTGTTGGTAACCATATTTACCATGTTTCCGGAATCGGTGTTACGTTATTGCTGCTGTATGTGTTTGGGATTATAAGTTTGGAAAATATTTAGGTACCGTGATGCGATTATGAGAAATAAATTACGATCAAAACACCATGAGTAAATAAGCAATACTGTGTCACCGTGTACTACGTCAAATAATATCCTGTCAGGAAATTGGGTTTTAACTTAATTACAGTTGTTCTGGTCTTCAAAACTGTGGGAATTTTTCAAGCAATAAGCACAGAGGAATTACTTTGACAAATCTAGCATTTAAACTTCTACAACTTGTAGTCCTACACCGCCGAACTAAAGCTAGGAAACAAGAGTGGTTAAAAAAAGAAACATTTCAAACCTGATACTGGGTATTTTAACTAGTTACTTCCACTTCCTTAGATATTAGAACACAAGAAAGTTTACCGATGCCCAACACTACCTGCTTTTTATCTGAAGGCAGCACTTGACTCCGTCAGATACACCTCATCAATGAGAGCTATATAATCAGAAACTTGTTAAACCATGTGAGGAGCTATCCTGGACGATATCTACATGTGTTTGCATCCATCGACGATGTTGACTCCCTTCATTTCTAGTGAACCCTAATATATATATATATATATATATATATATATATATATATCCGCTTAGAAATAGCTTCAAGACATCTGGATTAACAAAGAAGGACCTTCTAGCAGAACACACGGTCATATTGGAGGATGTTGACCATGAAATCTTTTCAGTTGTTTAAGAAGTGCGTCCCTATCCCTAGAAGAGAAAAAAATTAATTCAAAGCCTTAAGACTTCGTTTGATGAAACGCCGATATGCACATGACAGATTTGTGTGGTTTTCGTAATTGTACAGATCAGAAGATATAGTAGAACTTCAGTTATTTGACTCATCCTATCCTAGTGTTGTCTATGATGGATAGAATCACTATGTGGACAATGTCAACATTTTTGGTAACAATCTAGGGAATTACAAACTTTCGTCGAACGAGAAGGTCGGATCATGTATTTCACTTTCTCTGCCACTATTTAACTGGATGAGTTATATCACCAGGATTAGGAAGAGATTGTAACATAATCAGATCAGAGCGTGGCACAAACCTATGTTACTGGCTGACTGAGTAGTGAAGGGGTATTTCATAGGAAAAGAAATCCAGTCCGTGAATTTGTGAAGCTACATCCATTTAGATGGCTAGGACATGTCATACGCATGCACACCTCTTTCTTAGTCGATGGGCGATGTCAGCTAAAGTAGGATCGGGACGGAAAAAATGAAAATGTGGCATAATCTATGAAGTCTGTCTGTTGGTGTGAGCCGTGTAGGGCGACGCGCATACACTGCCTGGCTGTCGTCCTTGAGATGCAAGAAATCAAAGGTTGGAGACTGTTGGTGATATGGCTGAAAATCGTTCTCAATGGTGTAGAGCATTTACTTTCCGACATCTTCCAGGTCCACCAAATCCTCAATAATCTTTCTTCCTCATACTTCTATTTATTGAAGTTTTGTTCCATACTTTAAGTCTTTTTTTGTGCTTTCAGTTAATCCGAAGCTTGAAGTGTGCAGGGCTCTACCTTGATATTTCAGTCAGTAAGCTGATAGACATGTGATCATAAATACTTTTGGTTGGGGACTGTTTGAGGTATGAAGCAGTCGGCTGTAGTGGCACATACGCATTCACACATTGTTCATTTTAGATACTCCTTTTAAGTATTATAGTGTAACTTTACTGAGCGATTCTACTGCGTTATAAGTGCGTTGATGGTTCAGCAGTAGAGCACTGACCGACCATGCACGTGGTCCGGACCAGCACACACCTTTACCATCCCTAGTCGGTCACAATCCTGATAAATAGGGAGGGTTGAGCGTTAGGCTAGCAAATCCAACCCGCAAAAACAGCTGCTACTGAAACTTCAAAGATCTAGCTTGAAGCCCTATGTTCCACTGGGAACGTAAAAGAATAATAAAAACTACGTAATAAGACTAGGTCGTGTAGGTAATACCTATTTATTTAGGACATATAACTGTCGTGAGACCGAACCACCATAGCTTCTCATAGAATGCCTTATAAGACCTAATTAATAATTCACTTTTACTGGAATGAATGTATCTGCCGTATGTTTATAACATGTTATAAACATGTTATAGACTGCAATCTATTGATAATATTAGATGTGAAGAATTCAAAAGCGAGAAATACGTGATTACATTTCACCCTGATATTTGTGAGAGAAAACTAGGTTACTTGCTGATTTTACCCATATCTCGATGGACTTGAAGAACCTTCTAACTTTAATACTGGAAAATATATATGTCAGTCGTAAGTTGTTGCTAATCAGCGAGGCACTCTTAAAACGGAATACCAGAAGCAAATACGAATGAATTCTACTTAGAGTACAAACAAACACATATTATAACACACCTGAATCCATTATCGCTAAGGTAAACCAACAGGATAAATTCCCGCAAAATATCTTTCAAGGTCACATTCCAATATCAATCGGACAAGGTTTGAAACATGAAAAAAATTAAACTATCTGCTAATCCTCTTCTAGTGAATATTTTCAATCATCTGATACATCTTTGAATATGTCAACATCAGCTGTACACGTAAATGGTAACATAAGTAAATTGCTCGTTTTGAAAGGTGGCACTCTTCAACTATACAGTTCTTCCATGATCCCTACTCTATGTCATCTAAAATGACCTAATGTCAAAGATAAAATATTTGACAATCACATTTTTTTCCATAATTATAAAAGCCTACAGTTGTTAGTACCGACAGTGACAAGGTTATTCCTTGACGATTTCCGTCTGCGTAAAGTTTGTGTTCCAGAAACTGTCATTTTGACTGTGATAATATAAGAGGTCATTGTACTTGCTAATAATGTCATTCAAGTGACTCGTCGTTTAACAAAGAAGGTGTTATATTTGGGTTTATGCTTACTGACCAGTCAGTGGAGTTGATGAAAACATAATTGGTCAATGTTAATCTCAGCATAACAAATCTTTTTGTTTAGTTGGATGACAATAAATACCCTTTATTAAGTATGAAAAGATAACGTCGATGTTAAAGTTTGTACTGCCATAACAGCACATTTTGCAGAAGGTACAAACGTATCCATGAGAGGTTAATGACCAAGATCCCGTTTACGTCGACGTTAACGGAGGCTGTCACACCTGCTGTCCTCCCTGTGGACGCTAAGCCTTCTTCAGTAAACACTGATTTAATGACCATGGAAACCGAGGTAGTGCAATCGCCACCTTGCAGCAGCCTAACACCAACTCTTAGTACTTCACAAATGTGCCCATAAGTGTCTTCTGAAAGTGATGAAATTACAAGTAGCTACTCAGAATTATGGTTACCACGAATATGTCACAAGCAATCGGTAACAAAGTCTTGGAGATCTTCCGTGGGAGATGGCCTCAAATACCTACAACTGTTAGAAGTGTTTTTTTGATAACATTATTAGAAGATGGAGATATTAACATAATCTCCGTCTTCTAATAACGTTATCATAATTTATAAAAGGGACTAATTGTTTTATATTAGAAGTGCACTGAGAATGTGTGGCTCTTGTGAGTCAAGACTAGTTGGAGGCCACCAGAATGCCCTAACGCCAATTTCATGGAGACTATTGTCACCGATAGCCAGGTAGCGCACTCATTTAACATTCTCATTCCTCCAGCACTTCCAGTCAACAGATGCCAATAGCGACGTCATCACCAGTCACACAGTTAATTCTGAAGTTTGTGTATGTTGTTTCTAATTACTGGTTATTTTGCGGTAAGAAAAACACGGATTCCCTTTATAAAGTGGTTAGCCGGTTACAGTCCCTTAAAGAAGAGGTGCAGCCCCATATTGAAGTGGTGACGCAGTTGGTTTCACCCAATAGGTCGAGCAAGGTGTCCGCCTTAGGAACCAGTAAGTACTCCATTGACAATAGTCAGCTGGAATTCCCTTTGGCAACTGAAGAAGAGTTAAGCCAACTGGAAGAGTCACTGAAAACCCCGAAATCCAGAGGTTCATTCGTAAGTCTACAATTAACTATGGTTTAGGTTTAGATGACGAAAATGGCTGTCAATTTATCTTTTAGTCAGCAGCCTTCATTGAAACAAATGCTTAATTACACTTGGGAGCCTAAGCTATCAAGTCGCTTCACAGAGTGTGGAACGCCAACGAAGTTAGCCCTCACAGAATGCAGCTCCTACTAAGTTATAAAGTGTAAGCTTGCTTTATTTAAATATTTCTTTCTGCCGTGATTATCAATGAGTTCGTTTCTGCTACACTACCCAAGGACAATTAATGAAGACTTTGAAAGTCAGTCCTTAGGCCTACTTCCACAATGTACGTATTCGCGTAGCAAAAAGGGAGCTAGTGAAGAGTAAGTAAACACTTTTAGGTAAATTGAAGTTACTATACTATGTATGTGACATCCCGCATACATCTTAGAATGAGCTCATCACAAGAAGCCAATGAATATCCACAAATATGCTAATCCTATTAATCTTCAGTCGGCTTAGCTCAGTCCAAAGTGGAGTCCTGACTTTGTGAGTAGCTCAGCTACAAAAAATGGCAGCCTATTCTGTGACTATTTATGTCCCGTCAGTGGGTGCTTTGTTCCGCATCACAAGTGGAAATAAGGAGACTCAAAGTCAACTTCACCTCTGTAAGACCAGTAATCCGCAAGCGAAAATAATCTGAAGGCTTTTTCGAGTCATAAATCTGCAGTCCTTATATTACTAAGAGTCCTGTTCGATAATTTGTCGTCGGAATAGATATTCAGGGCAGTGAAATCAACACTAAAATTCTAGACAAGGTTACTGGGGTGAAATCTCCAAATTGACCTCGGAGGACGTGAATGATTCCGCCTCATCGAACCTTGGTAGAAATTAGATTTATCTCTCAGTGGAATATCTTACTGATATGTAGACAGATAAACAATGGATTATCCCTTAGCTATGTAGTTATCAAGGCCAATTTGGAAACAAACCAATCGGAATTCGCCCACGTGAAATAATGTCCACTACTGCGTTGGTGATGATTATAGACTTATTAACATTTCCTAAGTGATTTTTGGAATCATAAATTGTTGGGTGAAATGTATTCCATCTAACGCTGATATGTACTTTTCGAATCACGTCTTTGTGTGTAAGCCTGTAGGGGATTAAAATATTTTTTCAAGCCAGTTGAACCTTAGCTGTCTCACTGTCAATGATCACTTTATTTATCCATACGGATTAAACACGTGGTAGGCAAAATAATTCCCAAGGGAAAAGAGTTGAAGTGTGGTGTTGTGATGCGTTTGTGTATCTTTATGACGTTTCTATATCATCGCTAATAAATACACCTCCGAATTGTCATGAGAGTTAAATTATGCCTTCGCTAGATGGGGCACTTTTAGGAACAACCTAGCCATCAAGGTATGCAGACCATACTAGAGAGTCAGTAGGCAGTATGACCAAAGCTTTGGTCTAGAAGGATAGACAGCCATACAACAATCACGAGTTGGTTCTAGTTGAAGCCAACCTGAGGAGAGCTCGAATCTGTCCAGGCAGTCTAATATATTCATACGATAAACTCTGAAAGCAATGACCAACCGTCCGCTTCCCACCAAACTCTCGAGGTTTTAAGTGTCAGATATAGGCGTGATCGATTAGTTTGCTTACAGTGCTCACTGTCCTTTCAAATGATGCGGTGTCGTCACCACGTTGTGCTGGGCGCTCAGGGTGGCTTCCTCTGAGAATAATGAGGTAGGTGTGACGTCAGCGGCACTTCCTGTGCATTTGTTGCGTCCTGACTGTCACACAGTACTGTTGTGGAATCTCTGTGAAGGTCCTTTAGTCACCAACATTCGTCTCCAATTAATCTGTTGAGAATTAGTGTTCTTATAGCGGGAAACTGTAAACTCTGTGTGAAGATTATCACTTTAAACTGCTGTTCTGTAAGCGACCTCACCATGAATAGTTCAGGTTTGTAGTTAAGTGTATTTAGCACAGTTATCGTTGTGGAATAGTAATATATGTGTAAAACTTGAGCACTGTGGTAATATGTAATTTCATATTAGTTTGTTTACCGCACAGTGAAACAGTATTATCGATTGGACAATAAATAATAATAAATAATACTGTTTCACTGTGTGATACATCTAATAAACAAACTTATATGGAATTGTGGAATAGATCACATAAATTATATATAATCATGTTTCAATAGTCTACACACAATGGTAGGCTTTTTGTCTTGGTAACACATCAAGCGAAATTAATGCCCGTGGTCACACCAGGTGTTGTGAATGTTTTCTAATTGAAAAAACAATTTAAATATAATTGTAATTTATTTGTATTTGGCAGACTATGAATAAGTTCGTTTTTGTTCATTATGAGTTTCACATAATGGTACCGAAGGATGAGAAAGATCTGTGGTCACTGAACTGTTGAGGTTATATTATTTGAGTTAACCCTTAAGGAGAAAATGCATTGCAGAATGTGTATAGCTTATTTGAAGTGGGAGTCCAACATCCGAATCATCGCCTCCTCTCAGAAGATCGATTTTAAAGAGGTCTTAGTAACTCTGGCATCAGCAACCGAACGTGAAGTTTGCATCTGGGTTACAAAATTAATTCTGAGATTCTGGTTTCAACATATTCACTGAAGGGACCTGAGTAAGTAAGGGACAATATGTGTAAATGACAAGCGATTCAATATTTTAGATCTCTGTTTCATCAGTTCCTCCAAGTGTCAAAGACATATGTCAGCCAAAGTCTCATAAACCGTTAATGCCCAGCTCTCGCTACGCTCGGGCCCACGCTGTTCTTAGAAGATATCTTAGAAACGCTTAGTTATAACGGACGAAAAACCAGAACACCAATTGTTGCTTGAGTATTATGTATTGTTACACCAGCATATAAAAAATCACTAAGCAAACTAAGAAAACTAAGGTCTGTAAACAAATATTACAATAATAAATCGTTATGTTACTTCTAACGATGTTTAACTCTTCTTTCTGAACAGCGACCGATGAGACGATGACTGTCGTATTGATGCCTCCGCGAAAATTGGGGAAGTTGATTTTGAGCAAACAACCAAGAATTGATCGTTCAATCTTCAACTCCATTGACACTCCCCGGCAAAAAAGGGATCCAACCCTTTTTTCCTTCACGACCAATACACGTTGACTTGGATGCCATTGCGAGAACCTGGGTCACACGGACAGAGCTGAAATGGAAAACAAACAGAAAAGCCAACACACCACAAGCATACCCACAGCACAATCTCACACATCGCTGACGACCTGCGCCTCCAGACAGAGACCTCCTCTTGACATCTTGCAACACAATCGCCACTTGCTAGAATGACTCTTGCAGAATGCAACGTGACCATAGCAGCACCTCATGATACTCTTCACGCATCCTCTTATCTACTCACTACCAATTACCACTGAAATCGCTTGTCACTCATTCTGCCTCAGTTCTAGT